AATTAAAATATTAAATTTTAAATTTTGAAAAAAACTAATTTCTGTAAAACGCGGCAATGTATTTAACACGAAATGAGCTCTGCTCTGCGAGTTTCATGCATGCAAACTGTGCGAGTATTTCTTCAAGCACAGTCGCATAATATATATAGATATATAAGCAATACCAAGATTAAATATTTGCCCTAATCAAATTTAGTCAATCCATTTTAAGGCAACAGATCTACGATATTTAATTAGTAATTTGTAAAATGATTTAATTGTCGTTATTCGACATGTACTGAGACATTTTCTCTACATTCAACATAATTAATCGTAGATTCGTTACCTCATAAAAAATAACAAAATTTTCTGACTCACCGGTCCGACGCGCAACGGGCGGAGTTATTCTGCCACGTAGCTACGACGATACTGTAACAAACAAACATAAAATTCAAATGAAAGATATGCTTAAATTTCAAAAGATAATTCTTATATCGTTTTATCTCAGTAAAGATAGTTAAAAAGAAAGAGACACCGATTTAAACATTTTAAAAAGCTTATTCTTAGAAAATTTTTTATTGGAAAATTATATTATAATAATTGCGGAACTTTTAATTCATCTTTTTACTGATTATTTACTTTAATGTAATCTATTTTCCAATAACAAATTTTCTAAAAATAAGCTTTTATAAAATGTTTAAGTCGGTCTCTTTCTTTTAGACTATTTTTACTGAGGTAAATGCAAATAAATGCGAAAAATCTATTTTATATGGATAAAAGTTATATTTACCCCAAGGTTGCTCCGCCGATGCCCGATGCCTCTCCCAGACCTCCTCCTCTCAGGATTGGGTAGGCGATACTGTAACAAACAAACATAAAATTCATTTAAAAGATGTGCTTAAAATAATTAACATTTTACATTATTTTATATAAATAAAAAATTATATTTACCCCAAGGTTTTTGACGCCGATGCCCGATGCCTCTCCCAGGCCTCCTCCTCCTCTCAGGATTGAGTAGGCGATACTGTAACAAACAAACATAAAATTTATTTGCAAGATGTGCTTAAAATAATTAACATTTCACATTATTTTATA